CCGAGACTGTTTGGGAGCCTCCAATTCAACTCCTTAGATGCGACTGAGGTATGGCACAGAGCGAAAGTCGACACCAATCAAACATCGACGAAGCCAAGGCAAATGCAACCAATAAGAGGCTGCAACAAAATTGTTCGCGTTGGCTCATTGTGCAAGAAGCGGCGGCGGCGGTTTTTTGAATCACAGTTGCCTCGATGTGCTGTTTGTTGTACCGCAGCCAGTTAAGGGCAAGGCTCCATGAAGTTCGCGGCCAGCTCAGCGGCAGAAACTGCATCAGCATCATCATCAGCATACAGGGCCTGATTAATTCAGGGTGGGCTTAAGCGGCTCATGCATTCGAGCACAGGCCAAACAACTTTTCAAGCATGTAGGACGTGAACAACTCAAGTGCCAGAGACAAGGCCTGCATGGCAATACTAACCGCGCCACGTGAGTCTTGGGAGCTGGCGAAGGGATTCCCTTGAACACGTCACGACGCTTCCGGTCACAACTACTTTTCTGCTCATCTTGAACAGACTTTTCGTGCTAAAGGCATTCCTTGAGGCAATGATGCTGTCCCACTGTTTGCCCACTCTGTTCACATTCACCGCGCAAGGTTCGGACGCTTCGCAGGGTGCTTTGCCCTGCTGCAGAAAAGTGCATCCAGATGTCAACGTGGCTTCTACATTGATGGTGTGAAACCCGCATAGATCACAGCTCAAAAGATCTCAGTAGGTTCTTGTCATGAAATCAAGAAACTCCGAATGCCTTTCTGCACACAGCCTGCCAATGTAGTGCCAAAGAAGCAGCTATCAGCTTTGGAAACAGCTGCTCACTGCCGGGCTTGTCAAGAAGGCAAGACCCACAGCCTGTCGACATGTCTCGGCTACCTCATCTTCGCTTTTGCTGACAGCTCTGAAGCCAAGGATTGGGCAATGCGACTTGCACCGGCGGTATAGCCTCGAGACTTGCAAGAAACACACGAGCCAAAAGTGCTGCTGCTGCCGGCTTCTTGCCACAGGAGCTTGAGGCCGAAGCGGCAAGAGCTGCAGCGAAACCACTCGACAGGACGAAGCATAGTGCGCCTCAGAGGAATCCGTGACATCTCCAAGTTTCTTCTGCTACAATGGGTCCACTGCTCCATGACATGTAAAGCCTAAGCTCAAACAGGGAACAGTATGGTACCGCGGTGGTCTCGTCCCAGGAGGCCAAGGTCACCGTGCCGAGCACATGCGACCTAGGTTTGGCAAGGCCAGGCGAATGTCTGCGGACCCTCGGCCCTGAAATATCTCAAGCTGGTCCCGCTGCGAAGGTGATGTTCTGAGAACTCAGGGTCCAGCACTGCTCCGATTGCCAGTCCCCGCTCTCTGGAGCCGTCCACCTCCAGCCATCCTGAAATTTTAATATCAAGCACTTCCGCAAAGGGGGTTACACGTAAACGCCACGCACACGAGGCTGCATTCCTAACTTGACACTGACGTGGCCTTTTTGACTGCCCGGCAGCAAGCCACACAACAGCAGTGCCGTCAAGCTGCTTAGCAAAGGCCTGGCCACGAAAATCCCAAGAAAGCCTGATGCCACGACCTTAAAAGTCAAGATGTTGGCGGTTTCACAGGTAGACGGTAAAATCCAGTGTAGAGTTTTGGGGGAGCACCATGGCCACAGTGAGTGGTGCTGACGAGTGTAAGGAGGAAGATACCTTTGGAAGCAGAGTTAGGACAATGCAGAACAACAGAGAAACTAACTACGCATCTTCTGAGCACTGCGACTGCCAGTGCCAAGGGTGCTGTGCAGTAACGCGACACAGACCTGAGGGAGGGAGGTACTGGCCCGGATGGCCCGCAGCGTGACACTTCGATGTTTGGGACCTGTACTCTGTTGTGCTGGGCACTTTGACGAGTCTCTGATGCCTTCTAAACTGGGCCCGTGGCGCTGCAGCCAAGGCCTCCCGCATTGTTCAGTCCACTGTCATGCGGCCGATGCGATGTTGTCAGGTTTACTTATCCAGCAAAGCTTAAGAACAATTAAGTATGCAGTAGAGAAGGAAAAGATCAGCCCAACGGAATATCCGACTGGCACCTTTGGCAGCTGCAACATCCGCGCGATTACGGCTGTGCCAAACAGGCCAAAAGCCTTGGCCATGCATCAATCACAATCTACTCATGAAGCCGCAAAAGTGAATAGTCGGCATTGTCGAACCGAGACTTCATCACAGCATCACATAAAATCTAGGCCACGGACCGCAGCTAGCATAGAGGTTGCTATGATGAGCCTTAAACGGTTATGCCGCTATGCCCTTGCTGGTGCTCCAAAGTGTTCCACTCGACAAGGCACAAATTCTCTGCAACCTTCTTGGGCTACAGGCGCACTGTCGCGCTGCAAGAGCCGCCGGCGCTCGAACCTAGGCTTGCTAAGCAACTCGTAACAGCTGCATCAATGCCCAAATCGCGCTGAGAGAGCATGTTGGCAAAGCTCCAGGCAGCAGCAGCGCGAGAGCAATTACCAGTGGGTTCAACAATCTGGACCTGACGTGCGGCGAGGAGGGAAACTGAAGCACTCAACTCTCCAGGGTTCTGGCATGTGCTGGCGGAAGAATTCTTCGACACAATTGCTTACGAATGCTTCGCCTTGGCACAACTTCACTATGCCGAGCATGCTGCATTAGCGGGCCAGCTCCGGCTGGAGACGAATAGGTCACCAAGACCTGGGAACACTCGGATAAGGAACTGCACGGCAAAGTCTGGATTTCGTTACATGATTCCCCCCAACCCCCGGCGAGGCTGCTTGCATCGTGTCTGCATGAGCACGCGCCTTGTAAGCCCCACTGCAAGTTTCACGCGGGACTGCGGCCATTCCATCTTGACATCTCCGGCTGAACGGCTTTGTCGCTTGTTGCTTCGTCTCGTTCGGGACTCAAGCTGGTCGAAGCGCCCTCCCAACGGTCCAGGGGCAGCGAGTCATTGGGCCAGCGGCGCATCTGCTCCATATCCGGCAGGGCGGAATCTCCCAGTTGCCAGAGCCATCGACGGCTTGCTCTGTCAACTTATCTCGCAACGCGCAGTCCAGCAAGCTAAGAAGTTTATGTTCTGCTTCGTGATCAAAATGAAGGACGTGCGGGTGTTGTATGCGCACGCCTACAATTTCTCTCGACTCCCACATCGACAAAGCACGACTGGAAGGCCGAGCATAAGAAAGGAAGCAGGTCTTTCAAACGCTCGGAAATTTATTCACGACCGGATTTGCGAGTTTGCGATGAACTTTGAAGCACCCCAGATGCAGGAGCCAAGCTGTCTTCAGGTATCACTCATTCATTACACCATCGGCCCTCCGTGATGACAGCATGCAGAGCTTCCAAGCTCCTGGCCTCGTGAAAGGAGCGCGATTCGTCCTGTCGAAAAACGCCGCTCTCTTGATGCATGCAGTGCCTTGACCACACTTGATTTCCTTTCTGGCGTGCTGTGTACGGTTCCTAAACTTCTCCTGCAGCTTTATAACTTCTAGGACTTCCGGCTTCCACGCTTTCTGTAGGACCTCACACCGGATGTGATGACAGTGAGAATAGTGGCAGAGCACGTGGCAAGGGAGGACCCCGGGAAATGCCCAGAAAACGAGAGTGTGACTTGATGGTGATGCGATGGGCAGCGGCTAAAAGTCTCAACAAGTAAGTCGCTTGGCCTTGAGAGAGCGCTCACGAGAGCTGGAACAGCAAAGCCACGACCCTAAGGTTTAGGGCTTCTGGAATCCCCAGTAGCCTGTTGGGGGACCAATCGGACCCATATGGTAACAACGCAGACAAGCGGCCTGCGACGCCCAGAGTGCGATGGCCAGCCATGAGCCGAGAACACCTCGAGACCATGGGTGCGTTTAAAGGCAAGTCGGCACTTTAAAGGGGTAGCCGGGATAGTTTTGCTCTGCATCGCCGACCTGCGAAGATCGGGTGCAGAATGGCCTTGAAGGCTGCTGGCGCAGAGTTACCTTCGATGCTCTTTAAGCTGGCCGCATCGGGTCTGAAAACATTGGGGTTCAGCATTCTCCCGCCTAGAACGAAGGACAACAGTGATGCGCAGAGCATGAAGGAAACCTCCACTGTCTGAGACCTCATGATGTGCCAGAGCTCTCGGCAAACTACGGAAGAAAAGAACCGAGCGCAATGCGCATGACCGTGTTTTAGACAAAGAAGTGCCTGTCACGGCAGATGTTGGTCGGCCGGCATTCAAGAAGGCAAGGCTTGAGAAGCAGTGGCGAGTGACCAAGGACCCCAGCCGCTAGCATGATGATCCCGTAGACCGGTAGCCATCGCCTCTTGAAGGGCCTTCGCCAGAAAGCACGCGAAGACAAGCATCGGATTCCGAGTTGGCAAAAAAAGGGCGAGTGCGGAACCCGCCAAAGCAAGACTGGTTCGGAAAAAGTCAAGCCGGACACGACTCGATCACTGTGCAAGGACT